CTTTGTTTCTCTTCTCAAAAATTTGACAACCTGGCTATATATTCCTTAGGAGAAATGGCCAATTAATATATTTGGGGGAGGGAGGGTAGAAGTGGCTTGATGTGGCCCAAATAAGGATTTGAGATCCTTGCTCTAGAAAACCAAGGAGCATCCTTGGTATCTTCTTGGTCAAAGTAAAACAACAAAAAACAAAAACAAGAATGACAGCCACAAAGTATTTCTCTTAGCTTGTGTCAAATTTCATCACATGTTGGGTGTCACAGTAAACCTAGAATGACAGAAATCCCTTTACGATGGTGAGCCATCCAGCTGTGTTTTCCTGTCTTTCTCTAAAGGGGACTTCCAAAGCTCTTTTCCCCCACCACACAACTCTTTGCTAGTTGCCAGTGGATCTAAGCTCATCCTTTTGCTTACTGCTTATTTTGACTATCATAGAATCTCCTGATGAGAGATCAATGATAAAGTACTCAAACCCAATAACTGAACAGGAAGTTGTACCTCAAAAATAAAACCCTTTGCACAAACATTAATTTTCTTTTTTCCTCAAGTTCCTGAAAGGGGGTGGGGGTGGGGGAAGATCAGAGTCCCCTGATGTGGCAGCAGACTGCATCAGCCAGGGTAGAAATGCTGATTAGAAGATTAAAATATGGGACCTAGAATTAAGGCTCTTATAGATCCCTTCTGGTTCAATTCAATTCAATTCAGTCAATATTTATTAAGTTTTCACTATAACCAAGATTCTGTGAGGGATACAAAGATGGAAAATGTCAGCCTCTGTCCTCAAGAAGCTAGTTTACGAGAAGAACTCTAGCATTCAATTTTCTATGTTCTCAAGCCACTTTCAGCTTTGTTGTTCTAGGTTCCAAAGCTCCTTTCAGGTCTAAAATTTTGTGTTAAATGGCTCTTTCCTTCTCTGACATCCTATGCCCTAAGTCAGTATCTTGAGACCTAGCCTTGGAGTCAGGAGACCTGGGTTTGAATCCAGTCTTTTTTTAAAAATAACATAGATTAGAAACCTAGGAATCAGAGATGCAAAGACCTTTTCTACCTTGCTTATGTCTGTTTTCCTTTGTAGTAGTTTTACTTTGTTTTGATAACAAGAACTTGTGAAAATTATGGGGCATAAAAAGGTATTTGGCTCAGCTGGCCCAAGTTAAGTTTCCTATAAATTTTGTAGCACCAGGTTGAAGCCACTTCAAAAGAACAAGCATTTCTTAAGTACCTACTGTATGCCAGACACTGTGCTGGGAATGCTGAGGAAGTCGAAAACAGTCCCTGCTGTCAAGGAACTCACAATTTAATGAGAGAAACAACATGGAAGCAACTATGTCCAAACAAGATACATGCAAGTCTTAGAGGGAAGGTGCTGAAATTAAGGAGAACTCGGAAGGCTTCTTGTAGAAGGTGACACTTTAGCTGAGACTTGAAGGAAGCCAGGGAATCAGAGAGGCAGAGATGAGGAGGGAGAGAAGCCCAGGCATGAGGGATAGGCAGTGAAACTGCACAGAGTTAGGAAGTGTTGTGTCTTATTCAAGGAACAGCAACTGTTTTCAAGATACCCTCTGTCTTAGCAATGCTTCTGCATCTACTCAAAGACAGGTTAATAATACGTTGCCACGGGGGCAGCTAGGTGGTGCAGTGGATAGAGCACCGGCCCTGAAGTCAGGAGGACCTGAGTTCAAATCCGGCCTCAGACCAGACACTTGACACATACTAGCTGTGACCTTGGGCAAGACACTTAACCCTGATTGCCTCACTAAAAAAAAAAAAATACATTGCCACAGACATTTGCTTTCTACTAGGACTCTGAAACCATCTTTCCATAATGATCAAACTTCTGAAAGCCTTTTCATATCAGTCTGCCTACCTTAGTCTCTCCTCTGTGAAATCTCTTTGATCTGCTCTCCCCTGCCCTTTCAGATGTTTGTGTCCTCCCTCTTCTCAAATCTCCTTATATTTACCTCTGTTGTTCATGTCACATATCCCAGTAGAATGTAAGCTCCTTGAGGACAGGGATTGTTTTTTGTCGTTGTGTCTCTAGCACCTAGCACAGTGCTTTACACATAGAAAGTACTTTGTAAGTGTTAAATTAAATTGAATTTTGAATGCAGTGTTGTCATTTCAGCATGAAACGGCTCTTGTGTTTCTGTCTGCATGAAAAGAGCTGGTTTTCATTGTGAGATCTTTCAGTAAATTGTTTCCCTTTAACTTTTTCCACTTGACAATTTATGTCAAATCAAATGTGTCTGGAAAAAAAAGTACCATAGATGGTTGCCTAATGGAAGGGTGAGACAGAAAAAGGACCAGGCACTAGGGCTCTTTCTTAACTGTCCTATATTGCCAATGAAATTGCTCCATCACATTGTGGGAAAGGGACTATACCAGCATTTTTATTGAACCCATGGGCCTTGGATTTCTGAAGAACAGTAAAGACAAAGCAAGGATCTTGGCTTACCACATACCCACAAATGTTCATGAAGAGCCATAAACACTCTCTTGCCCTTTAGGAATCATAGAATGTCAGAGTTGGGAGAGATCTTAGAACATAGAACGTTAAAGCTATGAGTGTCCTTAGAAAATAGAATGTCAGAGCAGAGAGGGACCTTAGAATGTAGAATATTAAAGAACACAGAATGTTAGACTTGGGAGGGACCTTAGAGTATAGCATGTCAAAGAACTTAGAATGTTAGAGCATCAGAATGAAAGGGTCCTTAGAAGTCATTTGGCCTAATCCTCTTCATTTTGGCTCTTTTCAGTTGACCATAAATCTTACCTTAGCAGAGAAGTTCTGGTGGTTATAAGCATAAGGAGTCTGATAATAAACAGTATGTTTCCATTTGGGGCCGAGGGGTAGCTAGACTGCTCCCTCATCAGTTTTCACCTCTCTGTAAAGATTAGGCACATCCTCTGATGGGTAATTAACATTCTTGTAAAATCTTCTAAAGAATTTTGGTTACAATTACATAGGATAAGTCTAATGAAGTCATATCCTTAAACCTTCAGTGGGGTTTTTGTTTAATAAATTCATTCAATTCAACAAATATTTATTGGGCACCTATTATATGCAAGGTCCTGTGCTAGTTTGTGGGCTATAAGGACACTAAAGACAGTCTGACAGATGTACAGCATTTGTATATACTACAGACAGGAGAAAGAATGTTAGATTATAAGATTGTAGATATGGAGCTAGGAGGGACCACGGAGGTCATCTAGCCTTCCTCCTAATTTTTGTATTTAAAGCAGGGAGGCATCATAGCCTTTGAGCTGGAAGGAACCTTAGTGGTCATCTGGTCCAATTTCTCCTTTTTCCATGTGAGAAAACTGGGGCTTGGAGGCATTAAGTGACTTACCCGAGGTCATATAGGTGGGCACATCTGGGAGTCAGACTCAGATCCTTTGACTCTAAAACTAGGATTCTTTCCATTGTTCTGCAGACCTTTGAAGTCACCTAGTCCAACCCCATCTTTTTGGAAATAAGCAGCCCTCGCTAGTTTTTCCATACACATTCCTTAGCACAAAAAACAGTACGTGTTGGAGACTCCATACAAAGGGATGCAGTTGCAGAAATAGTTGGAAGGACAGATCTCATTTTAAGTTGGTCTCATCTATAATACAGACATGCCCCTTGAAGATCTTTTTAAAGGCAGGCACCAATGTTTCACGGACCAGTGTATTAGGCACTACTTCTCTCCTCGAAGTAAATTTCTGATTTACATGACTGTACCAACAATAATTAGTCCAAACAATATTTGGGCCAAATTGTGGCCCAAAATGTGACAATATCTCTAAACCATGTATTCAAAGATGTGATTAAAATGTACTTTTCTGAACCAACCTTTGAAAAAGATGTGTATATATTGTAGATTAAAATTACAGTAAAAAATGAGGTACAAATTTGAAAGATGTTAAATCAGGAAACACTCCTTTTATTACTTTTAAAAAAGTATCTCTATACTTTTATATTGCCATCGTATTGAAAAATAGGAACTTTGAGTTTGTTCATATTATCTGTGAAAAACAGGAAGGAAATATGCCGAGTCTTAAGAATTTGCATGACTTTAGTGGTTATATCAGCATAAAGAAGGAAACTGGGCCCATATTTATCATATCTTCATAGAATTCTCAAGAATAATTAAATGTAAGCAGGTCCCCAAATGCATTTTCTATTTCTGTTGGTATTAATCAAGTATCAGAATGTATCTTTAACGTACTGATGTTGAGAAACTTAGTGTGAGACTGAACAAACTGACTGCTTCTCTGCCCAGTTTATGAAATGAAAACTTGGCCAAAAGACCTTTGCAGATTCTAGAAGTTTATGATTGCATGAAATCATAGTTCTACAAAGATGGTGCTACCATATTTGACCAAATTCTATAAAGCCATACTCCTGGTCATAACAACACTCCCAAATTTCCGCCTTTTGTGAATTACTTTCAAAAGCAACTCTCTTATCTCTGTGATTGTTTTTGTGTTCTACGTATCCAGTAAAAATACCAAAATAAAACAACACAGGCAAACATGGTACTGAGTCTGGGCTTCCAAAATGGCCAGTGGTTAAGTTTTGTCTGGGATCTGTAATAGCTTGATAGACAGCATGGCACAATGGATAGAGTGCTGGCCTTGGAGCTGGAAAGACTTAGATGGAGTCTGCCTCTGACATACACTATCTATGGGACCATGGATTAGACACTCAGTGCCCCACACAAGTCTAGAAGACTCAAGTTGCAGAATAGTCGCTGATCTACATTAGGAGAGGCTGTTTCTACCCCAGTAAGTCTCCTACAGTCATTCAGCCAATAAATATTTATTAAGCACCTACTATGTGCCAGGCACTGTGCTAAGTGCTAGGAATACTAAACCAGTGAAATCCCAGGCCTGGGCAAAACTTCACTGCTTAAAGAGATCCCAATTAGACTTACAAAATGCGGCATGAGTTGCAAAAGTAACAGGTCAAAGGTGATTTTTTTTTTCTCAAAAATGGTTTTGCAAATCTTTTTCAGAGCTGATAGATACACACCTTAGCTGGATACAAAACATAATATGAAACAGAATGACTGTGATCTTTGATACGAGAATTCAAAGTTGAAGGTAACCAACATTTTCTGCCTTTTTCTCCAGCTGTGTGTTTTCTTAACCTTTTTTTTTCTCCAAAAAGGCCCTCATGCCATGTGTTCCCATGGATTAAAAATACTGTATTATTATTATTTCCCTTTCATCTTCAGGGATGTAGCTTATAGACAAACACTGTGGTGGGATATGATATTGGGAAATGCATACTTTTTTAAATGGCACCCTTTGGCATGACCCATTAACTACCATGGCTCAAGAGAACCTGTGCACATATTTGTTTGCAAATGCAGATCAAAGATCTCTTGTCATTGGAAGCTTATGGCTGAGGGCCTGCCTCTATTTGCAAGCATTTCACCAGTGTCCCCTGTGTTCAGTCAAGAAAATTCCATGGCTATTAGTGGGATTTCTACCTGTGGGACAAACCTGTAGATGAGTAGGTCCCTTGGCCAGGTACAAAAGGGAAGCTGGGCTTCATTGAAACCAGGGCTGCCCCTAAATGACCTTTGCCATTTTTCTGTTCAGGTGACGCTGTTAGCTCTATTAAGATGATTCATTGTGGGGATCTGTTGAGCATCTTATATCCATATACGTACCCCCTTAGACTCAGAAAACTGGTGTCTCCATGCTAACCTTCATGCAGTAAAAGGGCTTTCTCTATGGTATTCTTTTACAAAGCTCTTCACTCAGGAGTTTCTGGGGGTTTTTAATTGGCCAGATGGGGAGAGTATTTGCTGGCACACTACCTCTATTATTTGGACACATGCTTGTGAAACCTATGTTTTAGGAAGTTGTAAAATCTCACCCTGAGTTGAAGTTGTCTTCTGTTCATTTTGATGTAAAGGCTACTCTTAATTATCCATGGATTTCACTTATTTTTTTTTCCACCTGGTCAATTGTCTCTGAGCTAATTTTTCACTCTAGGATGGCTTGCTGCTCCCCTTCCCCCATCCCAGGTATATACCAGGCTCCTGTGAGCCTTGGTCTGTGCCCTGAGCAAATACATCTTCCTTTCAGTATTATTCTGAGCCAAGTACAATTAGGAAGTTCAGACTGCCAGGGAAAAATCATATCATGCATCCCAAAGCCAAATAAGAAAGGATTTAGGATTAGTCTTACATAAACATGAATAATTGAAAGTTGGCTGTATGTTTCAAGCTACCTTTTTTGTAGTGAAAAGAAAACTGGAAGTCTGAAGACTTGAGTACCAAGTCTCACTCCACTTCTTATTACCTGTGTGGCTTTCCCACTTCTGGGCCTCAGTTCTTTCATCTGAAAAATGATGGGACGGGATAAGCTGATCTCTAAAATTTCTTACAGCTCTCTATCCCATAATCCTAGGATGATGTCTCTTACTCAGAACTTCTCAGGATATATTTTATAGGAGCTTTTCATTGGTGTGCACTTGAAAGCTTTTCCTAATGGAAGCCCCTGTATAAAAGTGATTAAGAACTCACCTTTTCCTTCCTTGGGACCTGAAATCACATGCAAGCCACATTCAATTTAATTCAATTCAATTCAGTCAGCATTTATTAAGCACTGACTATGTGTTGGGCACTGTGCTAGTTGGGATAAGTAAGTCAATAAGAATTGATTAAATAAGGGGCAGCTAGATGGTGCAGTGGCTAGAGCACTGGCCCTGGAGCCAGAAGGACTTGAGTTCGAATCCAACCTCAGATACTTACCAGCTGTGTGACCCTGGGCAAGTCACTTAACCCTGATTGCCTCCTAGAAAAAGAAAAAAAATAATTTATTAAATATTTACTATGTGCTGGCACTTTGCTTAGCACTGGGGGTACAAATAAAGGCAAAAACAATCCTTGCCTTTATTCCTTGGAGTTTACATTCCAGTGATGGAGATTTCATATGTATACATAGACACACACAGTAGATGAGAGATAATCTCTCAAAACTCATAGCTGGAAGAACTGAGTTACGTCCTGGGTAAGTGGGATTTGAACTGAGTCTTGAAGGAAGTAAAGGAAACTAAGAGGCAGAGATGAAAAGAGAGAGCATTCCAGGCATTGGCAACAGCCAGTGCAAAGGCATAGAGATGGGAGTTGGAAGAATAGCAAATAGGCCAGTGTAGTTGGCTTAGACAAAAGAAATGCTCCTTGCCCTCAAGGAGCTTGCAGTCTGTTGGGGGTGAGAGGAAGGGTACAATATGTGCACAGATAAGTAAATACAAATTTAATGCAAGGTTATTTCAGGGGGAATCAAGAAGCCTGCCTTTAAGCTGAGCCTTGAAGGAAGGTGGAGATTCTAAGAAGCAGGGATGAAGAAGGGAGGGTATTCCCATACATGATAGAAAGCCCCTACAAAGCTACTGGGGTGAAAGAGAGTGTGGTGCATGGGGAGCTTCAAGAAGGCTACTTTGACTGGAAGGTAGAGTGTGTAAAGGTGACTAATGTGGAATTTATCTAGAGAGGGTTGGAGGAAGATTGTGAAGGACTGCAGTGCCAAGCAGAGGTATTTTTACTAAGGGGACTCTGGAGGCCTAGGGAGTCCATGAAGCTTTTCAAACAGGGGAATGGCCTGGTCAGGATTGTGTTTTTCCAAGAGCTGGAAAATACTTATAGATAAATAGAAAGTCACTTCAGGAGGTGATGGAGGTGGGGGACAGCTAGTGAATTCCTAATCCCTGGGGGTCTTCAAAGAGAGGGGAGATATCCACTTGTCAGGGATGTTAGAAAAAGCCTATCTGTTCATGAGACTGGATAGACTATGAGGTCCTTTCCAGATCTGAGCTTCCCCACCCCTGTATGAGGAAGTAGATATACAGAAATCTGGAAGTCTGGCTCCAGCCTGTTTTGCCACCAAAGCCCCATGAATACTTCTCTCACACCTATCCTGGTGTTGAAATGCTTGAATAATGTTTTTTAGAGGTAGTGGGGTTGGCATAGTGTTTTTCTTCACCCAGCAGTTCTGCAGCCCCTTATCTCAAGACCAGTGTTACCACGTGGATGGTAAGTTTCCTGGCAGTATTTGTTTATCAAGTATGCTGATCTCATCTGGTTGGAATTTTTTGTCATATATTCATTGATCCAATTATAGGTCACCCCTGAATGAAGGTCCCACCCCTGAAATAAAATCTCTTTAAAAGAAAAAAATAAAAAGAAGAGATATATACTGAAAAATAATATACACAATAGTCACATTTATTTTTTTTAAGCAGATGTATCTGGTAGAAACATTTTTTTCCCTAGAAGAAAATAAATAAGCTTTGGTCTTTTACAAAGGTAAGACACCATCCAAGGTAGGGGGAACCTAGCTAGGAAAGTGGGGAGGAAGTAAATAAGTCTTAGTCATTTCCATTTGTCCTCTGACCCCATTTCTCCACCCCACTCCTAGGTCAGACTTTCACTCAGCTGCCAGACTTGCAAACTCCTACTCCCTGGGCTCCACCTAGATCAGTTTCCCTCCTCTTCCCGCTTCTTCACTCAAAGACATTCAGCTCCTTGCTGCCACCACTGAACAGTAAACCCAATATACCAGACATGGGAACTCTTGGGAATTTCCCACCATCTTCCCCTCTGTAAGGTCCTCTCCAGTGTTAGGGAATGTTGGGGCCAGGGCACTAGAGAATGATCAGATGATCTTGGTAGGAAAATGGCACAGGAATTGTGCTCAGAGCATAAGCCTAATAGTCATGCTTAGGTTTTACATAAGACTTGGAGAAAGCAAGGGAAAAATAGCATTTCTTCAGATCAATACAGTAATGTTTCAGATGGTCACCATGGTTGAGGGCTATTATTTTAGGGTGTTATTTAATGTAAAATAAAAAAGAACCTTCCAAAGATACCAACTATTTCCCAGCTGATCCATATAACCCTTGAGTTATCCTGTTCTTTGTTCCCCCATAGCTAGGCAGAGGAAAGATTCGGGCACCCCTAACCCTGGTTGAGGGTGGTTCTGCCTACAGATTGTTGATCTCACTCTAAGCCAGATTAAGATGACAGGAAGAACAGCTTTTGGTGACTAAAAGGCTGGTAATTGCTTTCCTAGGAACAAAGGGCAGTCCCCAGATACCTCCATTCTTAGCCAAAAACCCATTTCTTTATTTTGAGATTTTTACCCAATGCATTGGGAAATCAAGATTCCCAGGGTTTCCCTGGGGATAAGAGAGGCCCTTGTCTTATCAGGAAACCCTTCTTCTTTAGGTTCCTTCCTCCCACTTTGCAGTCTCTTACTCATACCCCTGTCTCTGACAGTTAAGGAGTGATGAGTCACACCATGGGGCCTGGTCAGGGGACCAAGTTTAACCCAAGGAACTTTCACTTCGCCTCACTCACCTCCTCTGCTCAAAGCTTGTCTGGCTAAAACTCTTCAGGCTGCTCCCCTAGTCCAGGCCCTTATTTGTTGTCCTGCTGGATTATTTTAAAAGTTAGCAGGTCTTGTTGACATTCTCTCCTTCTTACCACTAGCAGAATGACCTTTCTTGTGTATAGATCTGCTTATATCCTTCCTTTGATCAAAACCCTTCGACTGTTCCCTGAATGGCTAACAAATAAGGTTGTCTCTAGCCTGACATTCGAGGCCCTCAACAATTTAGTATTAGCCTATCATTCCAAACATTTCATACTACTTTCTTTATGCTTTTTAGTACCTTAGTAAGATGCCCACTTACTTTATCTCCAGGCACTCTGCTAAACACTTTGAATACAAACATAAACAAAAATAAAGATAGTTCTTGCTCTTAATGGGGTAGGACAATGCATAAAATGGAGCAGAAAAGATTGGCTTGAACACTTCAAGTAGAGGTTCCCAGGAGGGACTGGCTAATTAGAGGAGGAGGCAGCCTTTTCTTGGTGAGAAGGCTGCTGAGGAATAGTGGAGTCCAGGTGGAGACCTGGACCTTTCTCTCTTGCCTGACATGTCCTGAATCTTCCATCTTTGAGCCTCTGCTCACAATATCCCCCTATTACTAGAAAGTCTTTCCCACCCATTCCCTACTACTTGTGGAACCCAGTCTTCAAAGGCCAAAGTAAGTGCCCATTTACTTCCTCCATGCAGCCTTCCCA